GATGGATGATATGGATGGATGATATGGATGGATGGATGGATGGATGGATGGATGGATGGATGGATGGATGGATGGATGATGGATGGATGGATATGGATATGGATATGGATATGGATATGGATGGATGGATGGATGGATGGATAGATAGATGGATGGATAGATGGATGGATGGATGGATGGATGGATGGATGATATGGATGGATGGATAGATGGATAGATGGATAGATGATATGGATGGATGGATGATATGGATGGATGGATAGATGGATAGATGGATGGATGATATGGATGGATGGATGATATGGATGGATGGATAGATGGATAGATGGATAGATGGATGCATAGATGGATGGATGGATGATATGGATGGATGATATGGATGGATGGATGGATAGATGGATAGATGGATGGATAGATGGATGGATGGATGGATGGTTGGAAAGTATTTGTATTGATACTGAAGGTAATTGCATCTGCATTAAAAATATAGGTATAAATATCAAACTTAATGGTACTGATATTGAAAACCTCAACTTTGAAAAATCTGTATTAATTCTAAAAGTATCAGTATTCATTTTATCATCAAGTATTGATATTGGCATAAAGAGTATGTCTATTGATGCCAAACACATTCATATTGGTATCAAAATCATTAGTATCCCTGAATCACCCTATATGCTGTCCTGGATGTATTTCCTGCATTAACTGGTGAATGCCCTGCACCGTAAGTTGAATGTCGTTACAGGGTAACATGCAGTTTAGCCAGTACATTTCTCTTCATGTACACTGTAACCATGCAGTACATTTCCCCTTATTTACCGTGTATGTCACCTTTTTATTTTCCCTTCCATTTGCCTGTTTGTACCCTGTACCCTGTAAGTACCCTGCACACTACACCATCAGAACCCATTAAGTTTTCCTGTAAGTACTCTGTATGCCACTTCATAAAAACTTTGTCAGCAACCAGTATGTTACCGTAAATACTTTGAGTATTAGTCTGTATTGCATATTGCTTTTGACGTGACAGTTTAGTTATATAAAGTTGTAGTTTTTGTAATCCATTTAGACTTTGTCAGAATAAGTGGGAATTTCTCTTTGGCATACTTCACAAAATAAATGTTCAAAATGTAATTGTTGTGTGAGTGGAGTGCTTCTGCAAGTTATATTGACTTTTGACTATATGATATACTACCTCCAAATTTATCGCATGATCCTGAACAAGAATTTTAACATATTTTTAATGCAGATACTTTGTTACTTCTGTTGTTTAGAACCGTTATACGTGTTGGTGTTGAACAATTACTGTATATCCAACTTAAAAACTATATATGTATTAAAAAAACCTGATATCTTCTGATCATTTTTAAAAGGCAAAGTAATTTATGATCCAGGGGCAAAGAGTAGTTTAATCAAACCTTTATTTGTTGTTTTTACTTTAGTCCAAAAAATATTTTCTTTCAGAAAAAAAGACTATTAAATGAGCAAAAACATCCATGCTAAGGAATGCTGAATATTTAACTTTATTTTATTATTATAACGTTTAATTATAGTGTGTGTGTTTTTTACCATTTCTACAGTAAATTAATGTCACAGGAATCAGGCTTCAGTATCTGAAGTGTAATGATGTGTTTCAGACATTTTCTAAACCAGGGATAGAAAAGGGCATAAATTATTGGATTCAGACAAGAGTTGAAATAAAACAGTAAGATTGAAAATGTTAAAAATTCCAAGCTAAATGGTAAATCATGTTGTGTAAAATTAGAAACAAAATAAGGGAAGAAACTTATTAGAAACACAATGACAACAACTCCAAGAGCTGTAGCTGCTTTCCTCTCAGACCTTTTAGCAGATACAGGAGCTGAACCCTTCTGACTCACAGCTGCAACATGAGACCTCATGGCTCGAGCCTGAGACACAGCCACCACAAACACTCTCATGTACAGAACCGTGATCACTGTGATGGGGCTAACAAAAGTAATTATCAGATCAAAAGCCTGAGTTATATAGTCAAATAAAAGTACACACTCTCCATAGCAGAAATTATATTTGTCTGGATTCTTGAGAAACTCTTTCAGTATCAGACCGTTGTAGAACACAGAGCAGGCCCAACACAGACAAACACAGACTTTTACTTTCCCCAGAGTGACTTTGTTGGGATAATGCAGAGGGTCACAGATAGCCACGTATCTATCAGCTGATATTAGCACCATGTTTCCTACTGAAGCAGATGTAATGATGTAGGAAAAGTAGTTAAAAAGTCCACACATAGAGCTCCCTAAATACCAGCAGCCTCCTGTTTGGAGGATTCGTGTTGGCATCAGAAGAAGTCCAACAAGGAAGTCTGAGACGGCCAGAGACAGAAGGAAGAAGTTGGTGGGGGTGTGGAGCTGCCTGGAAACAACAACAACAATAGCCACGTTATTTTCTATCACAAGTGATAAACACATTAATAACCTTGTCATAGAATGTATATCCCAACATTGAACTAGAAAATTTGCTGCAACTTTGAAATATGCTGTGCTCAGTAAGGACTGAGCATCCAGATGTTTACTTCCATGTATTTTATACACTTTGTTTACTACTGTTCTTGATGTAAAAAGAAAGAACACATGTAAAAAGACATTAAAGCATTTAAGTAATAATGCTTTCACTGGTGGTCATTAAAACAATAACTACAATACTGTAAGTGTAATTAAACCTTAATATAGCACATGTTATTAACCTTTTTTTACCTGAAGTGTGAAATGGAGATGATGACCAGCAAGTTGAGAGTCGCAGTCAGCAGCGATATACAGGACAGAAGGAAGTAAATGAAAATGTGCTCAGCGTAGTGCTGCTGGAGCTTCTTGCAGGAAGTGTTGGAAAGTTGTGGAAAGCAGAACTCGTCTTCTGTCAGAGTCTCCATGATCAGAGAGAGGAATGCAGGTGACAGGCTGCTGAGCTCGGGCAGAGTACTGACCCAAACTCCATGTGATAAAGCGCATTAATGTCACTCCTCCCTTTTTAATGACTGATGGCAATGCAGTCACAGAAATGTGCATACACTTTAGATGAGCGTTGATAAAATCAGTTATTCAAGTGTTACATCTTATGTCTTATATCTGATCCCATGCTGCTGATTTATTTCATGTTGCTGCTGATCTATTTCATGTTGCTGCTGATTTATTTCATGTTGCCGCTGATTTATTTCATATTGCTGCTGATTTATTTCATGTTGCTGCTGA